GGTAGCTATAGCTACATTGCATTGCAGTCAACACAATCTCTCAGGCGCCATAATCTCACGGAATAAGCGTTGCATATCTACCCTAAGATATAAAACTTTCGGTATCCAATCGTGAAGCTGCAGTAGGCTATATATATCTATATCTATACCGGTATAATACCTATGCAACAATATAACAGAGTCGTGTAACGCTGTCATCGGAACCGAGCGACGTGCGTGACATTCAATCAAAATCGAATATGACTGATCACTCAAAATATAGTTTTCGCCACTACGGTACACTACGCCCGTCATATTCAACAATACACGCGTGTACAGCGGGCGCTGAAAATAAAAACGCCATATCCCACCCGCGCAAAAAACGTCTTTGATTGTTTTGGCGGTATGTTATTTGCCGCCGCTGTCATGCAGATAACTTCGTAACGTCACCCGAGTAAGTGGGACTCTGCTTTCAATAGTGTTTGTTTCGAGACTGCAGGAACCGAGAATCCAACTTATTCCCAACTTACAACCGCAGTATTTCATCTCCAAGAATTCTCGTCCTTCGATCGACGAGGATCGGAACCAAGAAGAAGAATCGTGTACACCCCCCTGCCTGGTGCAGAGGAACAAGTGCTGCGGTGCTTTTGGAGGGCAAGGATAAGATCATACCTCGTTGGGAGAAGGGGCTCCTCGTCCTGCTAAAGACCAAGAAGAAGGAGCTCACAAATGACGGAGCTACTACGGAGGCGGAGCCGCCCCGCAAAGCGTCGATGACCCAGATGTCAACATGTCTCAAGATAGGGTGCCCATGCCGACATCTTTTCCCGTCTCGAGCTCCTCGTATCAAATTGAAGGACTGAGAGAGAAGGAGAAGGAGCCAACTTCAAGAAGGTCGAAAATGAGTGAGTCGCTTCTTTTGTGGTCCCTATTACTATTACAACGACTATCATGTCTGTATCGTTTTGTATTAGGCCTATAATTGTTAACAGTACAAATAGTTTTTATTCAATTCAGTAATGGATTTTAAATTCAATTCATCGATTCCAATGTTGGAACACCAATCGCCCCGCCTTGAGATCCGCAATTTCTCGACGCAGTTTTTCATTTTCATCCCAAAGACCTTCATTCTGTATACGTCTAAATTCCGCCACCTCTTGTTGTTCCTTGAACTTGTGTTCCATTTCTCTCGTCTGTTCTTCCAGCTGACTACATCTTTCTTGAGATAGGTGTAGTTCTTCTTGAATGCGAACACCTTCGGGACACAGTTTGGATGTGGTGGATGATGAGTCATCGGTCCGACGTCTCTTGTTATGGGCACCACCAGTACTCCGTCCTCGAGCTGTTGCACCAAGAGGATATCCTTGGGAGATTCGATGATCCACACCACCAATAGTAGTAGCATTGTCTCGTTGATGTTGTGGTGGTACTGATTGAGCATGATGGAAGGGATCAGGCTCACCATCGTGGTCATGATCATGATTGCCGACACCATGACCAGTACCATCCACGACAAATGCCGCGACATCATTGCTCGTGGCAGTAGCCCCACCACCGGCGCTACCAGTACTATCACTGCTAGTGCCAACACCGCCAACACCACTAGTACTACCAGTAGGTGTACCATTCTTGCTCTTGGTATTCCATACAAATCCAACGTCCTTGAGCTGCTTCATTCGTGACTCGTCAAGCTTGATGGTGGCACCCTTTTTGAATTTTCCCTGTTGCATGAGCGAATAAGCCACTCGAACTCGCCGGACCCACTTGGAGAGACCAGTATTCTCTGGAAAGTTGGCTGGAACCAGAGTATGTCCATGTTGCTGTCGAAATTGCTTCAAATCCTCCACATGGTCGTTCCAAGCCGGTCTGGATTCTCCCCAAACAAAGCCAATCGCCTCGAGTTCGGCAATTCGTGGGGGAGTCAACTTGAGGGAATACGGTTTGCCATGTTGCAAGGCCTTTTGTGCGCACCGTACATGATGGACCCATTGTCCAAGTTTGGCATACTTTTGAGGGACTTTGCAATGTCCAAACTTTTGTTTAAAGTCTTGCAATTCTTTCATGTATTCTTTCCATCGCTCGTCGTCTAGCCGGGATTGGTGGGTCATGCTTATTGTGATATTGTTGGTGAGCCTGAGTGAGTAAGTCTGAGTGAGTATGAACGAGTGAGCGAGTGTCCTGAGCAATAAAAATAGCAATATTAATACAGTAACCATAATAGCAACACAAACTGCAATTCAAGTGTTCGATAAATAACGCAGCTGAAACTCACGGAAGCTATAATGACAACAGTAGAGCTCTGTCGTTAATCTTTCTTGTTGCCTCTGATAGGTATGCAACAGCTTGCTTATGAGGAATGACGTTGCTCGTACAGTATTATTATCAGGTATGATGATTTATATTTATTTTGAATTTCATCCTTTTTGACATGTGGCTACAGTACTAGTGGCTACACAGCAAGGCTACAGCACAGTGGCTACACGTGATGTCAAAACAGAACTGTGAAATATAAAAGGACCTGCGGCAGCGTCCATACGTACGTCAGACGTCAGGATTTTAATAGTTGTTCCGGCGGTACCAGTAGAGGACAAGCTATATGGGCAACACCACTGAACACTAACTCGACTATGTCTTTATAGAGAATTTTATTCCCCATGATTTCTGGCTAGCTCCAAGCTGCTTCTCCAACATGCCTCTGCGTACGTGTAGTACAGCGCCCCATGATCATGATGATGATCATGGTGCATCCTCGGCGGCCTCCTCTCAGCCACAGCACGACTAGTACGTCCATCATAGTACTTTGAACTTATAACCGTCGATTCATCCATTCAATATCCCGATTCGATCGATGGCTCTTCTCGAGCATTCATTCTTGTACCGTCACATTTCTACGGCATGGCGCCTAAAAGAGTCATGTCGCAAGCTGTACTTGTATGCAAGTGTACAAACAGGTTTTTGACCCCAATTCAATCACACACTTTGGAATTCCAATGGTTTCGATGTGTGATCAAAAAATACCTTTCCGACATGATGTATTAGGACAAACGACATGGAATGGACACGGAACTGAAGAATTCTCTATTTACAAGCATTCCAAAGATCTTCCCAATCCCAGTTCCAGTCACACGTTGTAAATATTGCATCTCACAATAATGCACAACAGTCCTATTTATTCCAGCA